TTACTCAAACTGTAGCTACAACTAAATAATGATCCAATATATCAGTTGCCCCTCTATAAACATGCACATCCTGAAGCCTACCCATCAACCTTTTATCCACCAAAACATAATCTAACAAATTACTTGCATTATGTGCTATATCATACCTTATATTTATCTTCTTTTTCATAAACTATGTATTACTTATTACCAAACCTCTTTCTACACATAGGGTCACCATTTTCATTTACCTCTGGCACCAGAAATTTACCTACTGCTCCCTTGACAACATTTTTACCCACTTCAGCTTTGAAATCCCCAACCACAAGTACTCTCTCACTTGGTTCAAAACTCCCCATGCACACACTCAACATTTCCCAAAATTTCTCTCTCTCCTCTATACTTCTCTCTTTTCTAGGTGCATAAACACTTACTATAACCCACTTTTCACATCTAATCCTTATTTTACTCAATAAAATCCTTGAATTTATACATTTATATTCTCTCTTTTCTAGCCATAATTTATCCTTCAACATTATTGCTATTCCTTATTTATCTCTAACTATTTGAAACCCCTGACCTAATCCCATTTATTTCTCCCACACAGAAACTCCCCCACCCCCTTTAGCTTTGTTTCACTTAAAGCCAGGACATCCAGCTTCTTCTCATTCATAACATCCACAATTATCTCTTTCTTAGCATTTGCACAACATCCACTCACATTCAAACATCACACTTTCATGGTTTTCTTTTCTTTTTAGGAGGCTATACAGGAAAAAGGGTTACTAGCCCATTGCTCCCGGCATTTTAGTTGACTTTCACAACACTCGTGGCTTACGGAGGAAAGATTCTTATTCCAGTTCCCCATGGATATAAAAGGAATAGCAATAAGAACAAGAACAATTAAGATAAAATCAAAGAAAACTCAGATGAGCGTATATACATAAATGTGTACATGTATGTGTACTGTGACCTAAGTGTAAGTAGAAGTAGCGAGATGTACCTGAAATCTTGCATGTTTGCGAGACAGAAAAAACTAGCAATCCTACCATAATGTAAAACAATTACAGTCTTTCATTTTACACTCACTTGGCAGGACGGTAGTACCTCCCTGGGTGGTTGCTGTCTACCAACCTACTACATACATACACAATTTTTTTTTTTCAACAAACCAGCCACATCCCACCAAGGCAGAGTGGCTAAAAAAGAAAAACGAAAGTTTTTCTTTTTAAATTTAGTAATTTGTACAGGAGAAGGGGTTACTAGCCCCTTGCTCCCAGCATTTTAGTCGCCTCTTACAACACGCATGGCTTACGGAAGAAGAATTCTGTTTCACTTCCCCATGGAGATTAGAGGAAATAAACAAAAACTAGAAAGAAAATAGAAAAAAACCCAGAGGGGTGTGTATATATATGCTTGTACATGTATGTGTAGTGTGGCCAAAGTGTAAGAAGTAGCAAGACATACCTGAAATCTTTCATGTTTATGAAACAGGAAAAAGACACCATTAATCATACCATCATGTAAAACAATTACAGGTTTCCGCTTTACACTCACTTGGCAGGACAGTAGTACCTCCCTGGGCGGTTGCTGTCTACCAACCTACTACATACATACAGTAGACCGTCATTTAGCACAAGTTTATGTGGCACGATTTGGATATAGCACGATTGAAGAACTGCGGCACAATTTTATTAACACGTCGTAAGATGAATTTAACACAGTTCAGTTTGCGGGAAGGAAAAAAAAAAAACTTTCCTTTTCCTCAAGAGGCTGTCTTATTGTGGATCTGAGGGGGAGACCACCCGCAGCCCCAGCCACCCACTCCCCGACACCACCCCACCATCCCAGCATACATACTTCATAGGAGTCCAGCCCAACTTCTCTGCTACAAGCTTCTGATTGTGAATTGTGTTTTGATCTTTTAATTGCTATATCTTGTATCTGCCAAGCAATCATGACACCCAGTAGGCACATCAGTGTTGCTCAAAGTGGCAAGAAAAGGTGTAAGCATTTAAGTCTTAGAATTAACGAAGGAAACAAAGATATTAGACAAGACATCCTGTGGCCATAATGAAGTGTTACTTAGTACACACAGAAAAAGAGGTAAATACAAGTTTGTGTGACTGGCTGACTTACTGGATGACATGACCGACTTACTGGATGACATGACCGACTCACTGGATGACATGACCGACTCACTGGATGACATGACCGACTTACTGAATCACCTGACCGACTTACTGAATCACCTGACCGACTTACTGAATCACCTGACCGACTTACTGAATCACCTGACCGACTTACTGAATCACCTGACCGACTTACTGAATCACCTGACCGACTTACTGAATCACCTGACCGACTTACTGAATCACCTGACCGACTTACTGAATCACCTGACCGACTTACTGAATCACCTGACCGACTTACTGAATCACCTGACCGACTTACTGAATCACCTGACCGACTTACTGAATCACCTGACCGACTTACTGAATCACCTGACCGACTTACTGAATCACCTGACCGACTTACTGAATCACCTGACCGACTTACTGAATCACCTGACCGACTTACTGAATCACCTGACCGACTTACTGAATCACCTGACCGACTTACTGAATCACCTGACCGACTTACTGAATCACCTGACCGACTTACTGAATCACCTGACCGACTTACTGAATCACCTGACCGACTTACTGAATCACCTGACCGACTTACTGAATCACCTGACCGACTTACTGAATCACCTGACCGACTTACTGAATCACCTGACCGACTTACTGAATCACCTGACCGACTTACTGAATCACCTGACCGACTTACTGAATCACCTGACCGACTTACTGAATCACCTGACCGACTTACTGAATCACCTGACCGACTTACTGAATCACCTGACCGACTTACTGAATCACCTGACCGACTTACTGAATCACCTGACCGACTTACTGAATCACCTGACCGACTTACTGAATCACCTGACCGACTTACTGAATCACCTGACCGACTTACTGAATCACCTGACCGACTTACTGAATCACCTGACCGACTTACTGAATCACCTGACTGACTGAATGACAAAGTTAGACACACTAGTACAACCATCAACTTCAGTACCAGAACCTCTACCGTCCACCTCAGCACAGTAGGGCCACAGCCTAACTCCACTCTCCTCACAATCATCCACAAACACCAGCACCCACAATTTAAGGTAAGAAATACCATTATTTCTGTTACATTTGTAGTCTTAAGCAGTAAAAACAACATAATACATCACAACAATGAACTACAATTACATATTTACCTTTATTTTTATAAGATGTGGAGGCGTACAAAAAGTTGTTTGACTTTTTGGGGGCTCTCAGGAATGTAACCCTATTTTTCCCATTTTTTTTTTTTCAACAAGTCAGCCGTCTCCCACCGAGGCAGGGTGACCCAAAGAGAAAGAAAATCCCCAAAAAGAAAATACTTTCATCAACATTCAACACTTTCACCTCACTCACACATAATCACTGTTTTTGCAGAGGTGCCCAGAATACAACAGTTTAGAAGTATATACATATAAAAATACACAATATATCTCTCCAAGCTGCCAATATCCCAAACCCCTCCTTTAGAGTGCAGGCATTGTACTTCTCATTTCCAGGACTCAAGTCGGGTTATATAAAATAACCGGTTTCCCTGAATCCCTTAACTAAATATTACACTGCTCACACTCCAACAGATCGTCAGGTCCCAAATACCATTTGTCTCCATTCACTCCAATCTAACACATTCACGCACGCTTGCTGAAAGTCCAAACCCCTCGCCCACAACACCTCCCTTACATCCTCCCTCCAACCTTTTCGAGGACAACCCCTACCTCGCCTTCCTTCCCCTACAGATTTATACGCTCTCCATGTCATTCTACTTTGATCCATTCTCTCTAAATGACCAAACCACCTCAACAAACCCTCTTCAGCCCTCTGACTAATACTTTTATTAACTCCACTGCCTCCAACTGCCTCCTTGCTGCAGCATTTACAACCCAAGCTTCACACCCATATAAGAGTGTTGGTACTACTATACTTTCATACATTCCCTTCTTTGCCTCCATAGATAACATTTTTTGCCTCCACATATACCTCAATGCACCACTCACCTTTTTTCCTTCATCAATTCTATGATTAACCTCATCCTTCATAAATTCATCCGCTGACACGTCAACTCCCAAATATCTGAAAACATTCACTTCTTCCATACTCCTCCTCCCCAATTTGATATCCAATTTTTCTTTATCTAAATCATTTGATACCCTCATCACCTTACTCTTTTCTATGTTCACTTTCGACTTTCTACCTTTACACACACATTCTCAAATTCGTCCACTAACCTTTGCAATTTTTCTTTAGAATCTCCCATAAGCACAGTATCATCAGCAAAAAGTAACTGTCACTTCCCATTTTGTATTTAATTCCCCATAATTTAATCCTACCGCTCTCCCGAACACCCTAGCATTTACTTCTTTTACAACCCCACCTATAAATATACATGTATTAAACAACCATGGTGACATTACACATCCCTGTCTAAGACCTACTTTTACTGGGAAGTAGTCTCCCTCTCTTCTACACACCCTAACCTGAGCCTCACTATCCTCATAAAAACTCTTTACAGCATTTAGTAACTTACCACCTATTCCATACACTTGCTACATCTGCCACATTGCTCCCCTATCCACTCTATCATATGCCTTTTCTAAATCCATAAATGCAATAAAAACTTCCCTTGACCAATAAACAAGACTACTGTACTGTATCTATATTTACAATGCCATGAGGCTTGTGGCACTTTAGAGCCAGCCACATACATGTCTTATTTTGTTACCTCTGAGTAGTTAAACAACTACAATTAACACATGCAGTGGGGCAGAGTTTATTGTAAATTTCACTTGTGCTATCCAATAAAAATGACATCCCTGAATATTGTAGCTATTAATCAGATTAATTTTCATGTATAAGCTTATTTCTTACCTCAAAGCATCAGCTCCAGATCTGTTCAGGACAACTGATGAAACACAGTCAAGCTTTGTCTGAATAACAATAGCCCCAGCAGCATCCTCATCCATGATTGTTAATACTAGCTGCTTTAACAGGAACTGCAAGCGCAGATTCACAAACTCCGGGGGAAACTCAGGTGGAGGACCAGTCTCTGAGTAACCTATGGCTTCATAGAGTTTCTTCTTCTCTTCATCACTCATTTCAGCTTCTAATTTTTTTACTAAAAAATAAATTAGTAGTATTACTAAAAATCAAATAATTTGCAAAGACAAATTTACATAAGAAATGAATGATTGTCATTATATGGTAAGGCCAATAGTTGTCATTCACCAGATGTTGACTAGGGCAACCTTCATACATCAAAGCTGATGTCTGAGTAATGCTCACTCACCTATATTGTCTCCATTCTTAGCAGCATCCTCAGTTCTCTTCTGTGAGCCTCCAAAAAACCATCCACTGAACCATCCTCTCTTCTGGCTTTCTTGTTTCTGCAATTCTCCCTCACGCTCAACCTAAATAAAAGAAACTGCATTTAGTACTATACATATGCACAATCTACTCCAAGGTAGTTCATTAATCAAATTTGGCACCATCTATATCAATTTTGCAGGTATGTATATAGGAGTAAGATTTGGGACAAGATAAGCCCACTTAAAAGTTGCTCAGGTCAGCTCACTGACAGTGAATGTGTACAATCATCAACACTTATTTCTTCACTTTTTATGCAGGAAGATACTAGAGAAATTCCAGAAATAAAAATTATATAGGTCAGGACAAATACGAGTTATGCATAACCAACGTTGCTAGTGACATTCTCGTACAAAAAATTAAAACCAAACAAATCTCTGAGCCCTGATAAGATGTTCTCAAGGAGAAGCTTTAGCAAATGGCTGGCTAGTCTTTTCAACACATCACTACCAACTTGTATAGCACCAGATAAGTGAAAAATGGCAAATGTACTCTATTTTATGGCATCAAAGATGCTATTTTTTTCCCCAAAATACAGCAAGAAAATTTACCAAGTATCTTGAAGGATGAAGGTTAAGTTGCTCATAGGCTTCAACCTAAGCCTAGAAAAGCATTTCATCACTACACAGTAATAAGCCATACCACAGGAGGGGCTTGAACATGCAGTTGGAGTCGAAAAACTCCAGACCAACACATTAGCCAATGGGCCAGCTGGCTACAGTAAAATTAGTCCAACTAGGTACAGTGGACCCCCGGTTATCGTAATTAATCCGTTCCAAAGTGTGGCTGTGACTAAAGCCATATTTGACGATTTCATAATTCATTTTCCCCATGAGAAATCATGTAAATCCAATTCATCCATTCCAGACACTTAAATTAAAAAAAAAAAAAATTAAATGAAATACAGTGGACCCCCACCTTACGATATTAATCCGTTCCTGAGAGCTCATCGTAAGCCAAAATTATCATAAGCCAAATTAATTTTCCCCATAAGAAATAACGGAAATCAAATTAATCCGTTCCTGACACCCAAGTATGAAAAAAAAAATTTTTTTTACCACATGAAATATTAATTTTAATACACACAAACTGAAGAAGACATGCACAATTACTACTCTACTAAGAATAGAATACATGACACTTACCTTTACTGAAGATCTGGTGATGATTGATGAGATAGGAGGAGGGGAGTGTGTGGAAGTTATTGTTTAGAAGGGGAATCCCCTTCCATTAGGACTTGAGGTAGCAAGTCCTTTTCCGGGGATACTTCCCTTCTTTTAATGCCACTAGGACCAGCTTGAGAGTCACTGGACCTCTGTTGCACAACAAATCTGTCCATAGAGCTCGTACCTCCGTTCCTTTAAGATTTTCCCTAAAATGGGCCATACATTGTCATTGTACAGGTTCCCAAAACGGTTGCATAGCTGGTCAGGGGATTTTATTGAAAAGGTTTGCAGTTCAACCACTTTGAACATTTTTCTTAATCTTTTTTTTTAAATTTCCCATATAATTTCCCCCTTTTTCCCAAAGGGGAAAGACATAGAACTTTCGGGGGCCCATGGCGACTTTTTTTTGCATTTTGCAATCACTAAAAACTATTTTTTTTTTAAATTAAATAATCTGATTTTCTTCACACAAAAAATTTAAATTTATCATTCTTAGCCAAAAATTTTAAAAAATTTAACCATTCCATCTACAAACCTAGTTTACCTTTAACATAGCCCCAAAACAAAGAACATTTCTCCCGATTGAGCTCAATTTCAAGGTGCTTTTCATCATGAAAGCAATCAAAATCAAATCTATTTCTGTAATATCTTCCATTCTATCAAATGAGACAAAAAAAAAAAAAACGAGAATACAACCATAAAAACCATACAAAAATACCGCTAAGGGGTAGCTAATTGCTGAGAAGTGAACTCCATTATTTATGCTTAGATTTCTTTCATTTTTGGTGTACATTAGGAAGCATCTTTCCATCATACATTTATTTATTTATTAATTTGAACATGATACAGAGTACTGTAGTACAAATGAATACAGTTAAGTGCAACATGCCAAAGCCCTTTGTATGAAGAGCATTATGGGCAGGCTTAAAATTAACTTAAGATTAACTAAGCAGATATATATTCAGTGGTAAAACATTATTGTAAACAGATAACAATTAAGCACAAACGAGTATTACAAAGACAGGTCATGTGGTCATATACTGTATTGCTGTGCATTCAAAGAGAATGGAGTATTCTGTTAGGTAATGTAATTAAAAAATAAAGTTTGATTGGGTATCAGGTTAAACATTTATGAGATACAATTATGAGAAACATTTATGAGATACAATTCTTCAGTATTTATTTGGTTGTGGGTGAGTAAGTGATTTTTGAGAAGAGACTTGAATTTATAAACAGTCAATGTTTCTTTCATATTTACAGATAATGAGTTCCAGATTTTAGGGCCTTTTATGTGCATTGAGTTTTTGCATAGCATGAGATGGACACAAGGAACATCAAAGAGTGATCTGTGCCTTGCGTTATGGTCATGTTGAGGTTGGTAAGGAGACGTTTGAGGGGAGGGTTTATATCCGAGTTACGTGTTCTACGTACGTAATAGGTGCCATAATAAGTATGGATGTTTTGTATGGTGAGTAGGTTTAGGGTTTTGAATATTGGTGGAGTGTGCTGCCTGTAGCGGGAATTTGTTATTCTGACCGCAGCCTTTTGTTGGGTAATTAGTGGTCTGAGATGGTTTATTGTTGTTGAGCCCCATGCACAAATTCCATAGGTGAGATAGGGGTAAATAAGCGAGTGATATAGGGCCAGGAGGGCTGACTGTGGAACATAGTACCGTATCTTCGATAGTATGCCTACAGTCTTGGAAATTTTCTTAGAAATTTGCTGTATGTGTGTTTGAAATTTGAGTCTATTATCAAGGTGGATTCCTAAGAATTTTCCCTCTGAGTTTTGTGATAGGTGATCCGTATATCATTATGTTAAGAGGGACATCTGTAGCTCTGTTACCAAACTGAATGAAGTAGGTTTTGTCAATGTTTAGAGTAAGTTTGTTAGTCCTCATCCAGGTAGATATTTTCTGTAATTCGGTATTTACAGTATTGGCTAGCATGACTGGGCTAGGGTGAGAGAAGACGTATGTAGTGTCATCTGCAAATAGTGAGAGTTTGAGTAGTTGCGATGCATTTGGTAGGTCATTTATGTATATGAGAAAGAGAAGAGGGCCAAGAACACTTCCCTGTGGGACACCAACTGTAATTGGCTGTGCGGAAGAGTTTGCCCCATTTGTGTACACATATTGGCTTCTGTTGCTGAGATATGACTTTAGGTAGTTGAGGGAGTGCCCTCTTGTACCATAGTGTGACAATTTTATATGGAGCAAGTCATGATCAACCGTATCAAAAGCTTTACGTAAGTCAATGAAGAACCCCAGTGGGACTTCTTTTTTCTCTATTGCAGTGTATATATGTTCTAGCATGTGTATAATAGCATCATTAGTATTTTTATTAGGCCTAAACCTGAACTGGCAGGAGATGAGTATGTTTTGGAAGATGAGGTAGGAATAGATTCGCTTATGAATTAATTTTTCGAAGATTTTAGAGAGAGGGTGTAAGTTGGATATTGGCCTATAGTTATTCAAGTCTGTTTGGTCTCCTCCTTTATGAATCGGGGTGACCATTGCTATTTTGAGAACTGTAGGGAAGGTAGAGGATTCAATGAATTTGTTAGTGTTGAAACGATTGGTGATAGCACTTGTGACGCTTTTTTGTATATAAAGGGTGGTAAGGTATTTAAATCTCCTGTCTTGTTTTTTAGTGTGTTGATAATAAGGGAGACTTCAGTTGGGTTATTCGGAGCTAGGAACAGTGTGTTCGGGTAGTTGCCAGTGAGGTAGTCATTGGGTAGGGTATCTGAGCTTGGGATTTTATTGGCAAGGTTTTGTCCTATAGTGGAGAAGAAATAATTGAGTCTGTTTGCTGTTTCAGATGGTGGGAGTTGGGGTTCATCTGATTTTGTTAATTTAATTTCGCTATTTTGTGATATCTTTTTTGTTCCTAGAATTTCTGATAGAGTTTTCCAGGTGTTTTTTTTATATCACCTCGTAAGTTGGATAATCTGTTCTCATAATACAATTTTTTAGCCCTTCTTATCAGGCTGGTTAGGACTGACGAGTAACGTTTTGTTTGGTCTCTGGTTATGTGACCCATTCTGTACTGTTTTTCATATAGGATCTTTGTATTTATGGATTTGAGGATGCTGGGTGTTAGCCAGGGACTGTTCAGTCTCTTAGCTGTCATCTGTTTAGTTTTTTAGGGCAGTGCTTGTTATAGAGGCATTGGGTCTTTTTTAGAAAATTATTAATACATTCGTCAATATCTATATAGATTTCTAGCTCAGTGTGCCAGTCAATGTTTGTTACTGCTGCTGTGAAGTTATTAATGGCTGCCTCACTGTGAAGTCTGAAGGTGACTTTAGTAGTTTCTTGGGGTAATTTGCCAAGATTTGTTATGAGGAAGGTAGGGTAGTGGTCTGTGGTATTATCTGTGATTAAGCCTGATTTTAAAGGGGATATGGTGTAGGTCCAGATGTGGTCTAGTAGGGAAACACTAGTCTCTGTAACTCTTGTAGGTTTTGTTACTGTTGGTAGCAACATGCAGTTACTCGATGTGTTTGTGAATTCAGTAATGTGTGGGTCCTGAGAGTAGTAAGTGATCTTTGTTCATGCGTGCACCAGTTATCATACTTCCTAGGTTTTCACTAAAACGGCTAAAGTTAGACTGTGGGATCCGT